AGCTCTGTCACTGGGATCAGGCAGCACAGCTGTACTCACAGGCACTGGGAGAACGAGGTCTGGGTTCCCAGCGAGGTCTGCGATGTGGCGGTAGAGCGGAACCCCCTTCTCAGCTGCTCCAGCCTTACACACAGCCAGGGACACGCCCAGGATGGCATTGGCCCCAAACTTGGCTGGAAGGAGGCAAGTGGGAATAAAGGATGAGAGCCTCTCTTCCGAGGTGTGAGGTCATCTCATCTCAAACACCCTTTCTGGCCACCGGCGAAGAATCCAGAACCCCAAACCACTGGACATTCAGATCTCTCCCCATGCACCAAGGAATTCTGGAGACCCCACCCCATAGGATCGTGTCAATTTCTTGTCTGCATCCATAGCCCAGAGGCCTGGCAGACAGCACCAGGAAATGCCTGTGGAATGAATATAAAAATCCATCCAGCTCCAATGTGCCCCAAAATGTGGGACGCAAAAATAACTGAACCAGGCCTCTGCCCTGGGGTTTCTCCCTCCCGCCCCTGTACCACTCCTTCCTACATGTCTCCCCGCTTCACTCACACTTATTCTCAGTGCCATCCAGCTCAATCATAAATTTGTCAACTTTTTCTTGATCCACAACACTTAGTTTCTGAAAGGGCAGGTTTGAGGAGAGAGAGCAGAGGTCAGATTTCTCAGGAGTCTCAGCATGTCCAAGAGGAAGGAAGAGCGAAAGTATTTGGAGGAGAGGGGATGGGTGGTACCTCCCAGGAATGGGCTACCTGTGGTAAGCATGGCAGGGACACAGAAAGGCAGGGTGGGGGATCAGGCCCCTCCACTTGCCTTTTCCAGTAGAGCAGGGCCTAGAGTCTTGTTGATGTGTTCCACAGCCTTCAGGACCCCTAGAGAAGCCAGGGAGGGGATTCAGGAGGGCTCTGATCTACTAATTAGGTCTCTTCCTGTACAGCCCAACTCCCCAGGAGCTTTAGTCCCCACCTTCTACCCCTCCTGTGTTAGCCTTTCCTCACCTTTCCCCAGGTAGCGTGATTTGTCCCCATCTCTTAGTTCCAGAGCTTCATAGATCCCCGTGGAAGCTCCGCTGGGCACAGCTGCTCGAAATCGGCCTAGATCAAAAAAATAAACAAAAACATAACATGGCTGTTGCCCTTGAGTCAATTCTGACTTATAGCAACCCTGAAGGCCACAATATTGCCCCGCATGGTTTCTAAGGCTGTAATCTCTACAAAAGATGACTGCCTAATCTTTCTACCAAGGAGCAGCTGGTAAGGTTGAACCACTAGCTGAGCTCTGAACCACTAAAGAAGCATCAGTGCTCTTTAATTGGGCTGGGGTGGGAGTAACTGGAAGATCATAGAGTCCCATCCAAACTCTAAGGACTGAGGTCTTTCTAATCCAGGGACAGGAAGAGCCTGGGGAGGAATCTAGGGTAGGGGACCCCAGAGAAAGGAGAGGATGTGACACAGCCAGGGGGCAAAGGTAAAACAGGGTTGAGGTTTCCCAAGACAAACTGATCCAATGGGCTTGTGTTACCCTTCGCTGTGTGCAGGTCCACCTCTACTGTGGGGTTGCCCCTGGAGTCCAGGATTTCCCGGGCAAAGATTTTCTGCATGGCCATGGCTGCTGGACAAGAGATGGGAGTGAGTGTGGACAGTTGATCCCTTAAAGAACCAGAAATCTCTTGCCCTTTAAGAGTCTTCCACACCCCAGGAAGGCAGGTGCTGGAGCTAAAAATATCCCATAAAAAGGTCACAGACCAAAGAGGCAGGCATAGACCCCTCCCCCACTCAGAGCCTCTCCTATTCCAGCTCCATCCTAAATTGGGGAGACCTTGTTAGGAGGTCCAAACCCCTTTCCAGGCCTTTCTGGGGGTCCTCTCCTTTATAACTCTTTGGCTTTTACCAGTCCCTGAACCCACTTTCCCTTAGACCTACACTTACTTATTATGTCTTCTCCTTCCATACTTCCGGTCAGGAAATTTATTCTCCATGACTTTCTAGCCCTCAAATCGTCTCCTCGGGTTCTCCTTTTTCCTGCTCTCTAATTAATCTTCTCCAAATCCTCACAGACCCCTGAATCCTCAACCTGGCTCCAACTCTACACCCACCCCCATACCCTACTTCCAGCCTGGCTTCTCTGTGTCTTTGGGTGATCCCATCCTGTGTGCTCAGCCCCTCCAACCTTTCCCAAGCTTCTGAAATCCCAGAAGGGAAAAAAAAAAAAAAAATCTCATATTTGCTCCAAGCCAGCACCACCCTCACCCTTTACCATCCCATCCCTTGGGGATGGAAGATTCATCAGACCTGGGATGTCTTCACTGAGGACTTGGGGTGAGCTCTGAGTCTAGGTGGTAGCAGCTGGGGCAGTGTCAGCTCACCCCCTCTCAGGCTGGGCATTTATCCCCAGCCACCCCAGTCCCGGCCAGCCCCGCCCCTCTCTCTCCATAGTCATCCCTCTCCCGCCCCCACCCCCACCCCAGGATGGCAGCCAAGTGCCCACTGAAGCCTGAGTTATGGCGCCTTTACCCCTGGGACCTGCCCCAATCCTAAAGGTCAGCCATGCCAAACAAAAGACCTTCCTTTAAAATCCTATCTCTTGGGAGGTGCAGGGAAGGGATTTCACACTGGGGTGGAGGGGTTCTCATTCTCCCCACGAGTATATCCCCCTTTTGAAAGGTTAAAGAGGAACATTGTGCCCTTTAAGAAACGCCCGGGATAACCTGAGTCTGCATGGTTAAAGAGGGGGTCTGGAAGAGGGGCTGCAGGATTGACATCCACAAGTGCACAGCTCTCTAGGCGGCGCTGGGCGGCCCTCAAGTGGGGCAAAGGGGCGGGGTTTTGGGCAAGCTGTCGGTCTACCAGTGAATCCCCATCCAGAAGGCGAGAGGGTCTCACCTCTTAGGGTTCTCCTCATAGCGGCCACACCCGGCTCCACCCTACCCGACCCTATTTTGGCCTGCAAAGGGGCGGGGAAGCGGCAGTGAGACGAATTTCGTCGGGCCCTCAGAGTTGGCTCGGCGCCTGACAGCGTTGGGACAGCATTAAACAACCAAAGTCGGGACTGTCGGTCAGGAACCTCTTTGCCTGCCGACTGCGTGCACTTGACGGATACCATCACAGGATGATGTTGAGTCAAAACTGAAAAATATGAATGGACGAGAGGAAGGAGAGACCCTTTAGTAATGTCAGAACGTCGGCGGCTAGTCCGGCAATCCGCCCGTAGCATTCTTGGGAAGTGGGTTTGAGCTCTCGGTTTTGGTGGGTCTGGGTACTATGGGATCGGCCCCGAGTTCTGTCCGAAGTTAGGGTTGGCGAGCCTCCGAGAGAGCGACTCGGAGGTCTCTTCCGCCAGTGCCTCGGCCCAGTGACTCACCCCATGCCCTCCCCCTAGTTCTGCTCCAGGCCCCGCCTGCCCCGCGCTGTCTGCGCTCCCAGCCCCCATTCCAGGATCCCTAGCCTCCCACCCCTCCCCGCAACGTCCCATCTCGTCTCTCCTCCTTTATCTCCGGCCGCTCCCTCCCGGGATTTTTTCACCCTGGGGTAGGGGGTGCGGCAGGCCAGAGGTCAGGAGATGGCAGACGGGGAGCATCGCCACGTGCCCTAGAGCGGCTCCGCCTGAGTCGGCTAATGACTCAGCCACTGAGGCTATCGAGGAACCCTGGCTGGGGGCTCCAGGTGCCACGGATTCGGAGGTGGCGGGAGGCGGTGAGGAAGCGGGGACGAGCTTCTTAGATACAAATTAAGTCTTTTTCCACCTGGGAAGTGCTGCGAGACTCCAGCATACACCCCCCACCCCACCCCCGGGACCGGAAGCAGCCAAGCCCCTCAGCGGAGATGGGGGTACGATAGTCTGCTTCACCTTAGCGTGTTATTTAGGATAGACTTCCACCTCCTACCAAGTTGGCAGCGAGCGAAGTAATCACATATAAGTTTTACTGAAGGAAAAACTTAAAAGCCCCAAAGCAATAGGTCCCAAAGTAAAGAGGACTTTCCCCTTCCTGAAAAAGTTTCCAATCTTTCCACTTAGTATTCTTCCGCTTTAGGAAATAGTCCTGTCCATCTAGCCCTGCGGGCGTCCGCGTTCAATAACCTTTGCTGACACAGGCCAAGGGGCATGGCCGGTGACCCACGGGCGGGGCTAAAACATGGGGTGAGGCCCTGAGCTGAAGCTGATCCCGCGAAAGGATAATCTCCTGGAGTCGGGTGGACTCGAGTGAGTCCAATTTAGATAGCCCGGACAGTTACTGGGGGCAGAAGACCCCGGTGGGTGACTTCAGATCTGAAAACGGCCGGGTTAGGGACCAACACCCCTCTCATTTCTTGAATAAATAAAATCACAAGTGTAGAGGCGACAGCGCGCGTCCTGGCTCCCTCCCCTTCTTCCAAGCGGGAGACAAGTCGCCAGCCCGCCTTCCTTCGGTGTAAGGTCCAAATCGCTCCCGCAAATCGCGCCCGAACGCGCGCCAGAGAAGCCGGCCGCCAGTCCCAACCGTCCCACGCGCTTTCCCTCCGGCCCGCGCGCAGGCGCAGGCGCAGGCGCCGCCGCCCGCCGTCCTTTCCCTCCGGCGGAGGTGGGGGGAAGGGAGAATCGTTCCGTTTAACCCGGGGTTCCCTAAACCCGCTTTCATTTCATTTGCTAGATTTGAAGCCTGCCAATTCTTCCTTCTTTCTCTGCCATTCCTCTGGCTCAGTCCCTTCCCCCTATACTCGTCTGGTTTACATTCAGTGTGAAGTGGAGCCCTAACTCTAACCTCGCCCCCGTGTCTCTCACACACACACACACCCCGCCAAACCTCATCCTTTTTATATTGCTTTCCATCGAACTTCGCAAATTTTGCAATAGGGGGAGGGATTTTTTTAATTGCATTTGACAAAGTTCGGTATCTCGGCAGGCGGGGGACGGGGGGCGGGGAGGGAATGGGAGCAAGCCCCGCCCCTACCTCCCATTGCAAATAAAAATCTAGTTGGGGGGGGGGAGGAGGAGCAGGAAGTGGCGGTGCGAGGGCTGCTGCACAGCTAGCAGAGCCGCGGTCCGGACAGCAGCGCGTGCCCCAAGCTCTCCGCCTCCCCCCCCGCCCGCCAGCTCGAGGCATCCCGAGCTCAGTCCACGGCCCCAGCAGCAGTACCAAGAGCAGCCCCAGTAGCAGCGCCATGGCCGGGTGGAACGCCTACATCGACAACCTCATGGCGGACGGGACCTGTCAGGACGCGGCCATCGTGGGCTATAAGGACTCGCCCTCTGTCTGGGCCGCTGTCCCTGGGAAAACGTTCGTTAATATCACGGTACTGTGAAGCTTGCGCGGTCCGGGAAACTGACAGGGCTTGGATTCTGAAGGAGGGACTTGGGTGGGGGCGGGCGAGGTCTGGAGAGGGCAGCAAAAGATCGACCTGTCCTTGCCCTGGAAGTGGCATGAATGGCGGTTGCATGTGAACGGGACCCTCCGTTGCCCTCCTAAGACCTACGCCTCAGGCGGCGGCGCTTAGCCCGCCAGCCTCCCTGCTTTCCGCGACGGGGCGTTACATCCGGGGCACAGGGCGGGGAGGGGCGCACCTCCCGGTGCGGCGGCCCACTTCCGCCTCCTCCAGGGCGGGGCGGACACGCGCTGCAATTTTGAGCAGAAATTATGATTGAGAAGGGGCTAGGGGACCCCTGAATCCCTTACAACACTTCCGGCTTTCAGCAGGCATCCCCGCCACCATTGTTTCCTCTTATGCGGATGGGAGCCCTAGGCACTTGGTGTGGGTCTCTTGCCCGCCTTCCAGGGGCTCCCTGCCCCTCCCAACTCCGTTAGAGAGGGTAAAGCCGCCACACGCCCCCTAACTCGGCACGTTGGACTCAACATTCCTATGAGGTCAATCCCGGAAGTCCCCTGACCCTCTTTTTCCCGCCACCCAGCTAGGCCTAGGCGGGGAACTTTGTGAGAAGTTCTGATATAGTACAAGTTAGGAAGATGCTGTCCCCATCACTACCTCCCCTGTCCACACTGCCCGGAAGTGGGGAGGGGGAGCGGAAGTTCGAAAGGGGGGAGAAGGGGATTTCCGGGCGGGAGGGGACCGGATGTGGGGGTTTGGGGTGTAAAGGGGAGAGAGGGGGAGAAAGGTTCCTTGAGGTAGCTAAAAGGGAGACTGCCCGGGTATAGCACCAGGCCCCCTTCAAAAGTTTCCCAACTTTCACAGAGAACTGCCAAAGACCTGCCTCCTTATCTTGGGGCACAGACACCTTGGAATTAAACTCCACGTTACTTGGAGACCCAGGCGTCCGGGTCCCTAACAACTCCTGCAGAACCTTTGACCAAATAAGGGCAAAGTTTCTTCTCCTGCCTCACCCGCCCCCTCCCTTCCCCTGTCTGCTTCTGCTTTTCCTGCAGGAGACTTTTGAGCATCCAAAGGCTCCCCATTCTGTTCCACCCCACTCTCCTCCCTGGTTTTTGTTCCATTTTAATTCCTGGGTTTGCCTTCCTGACTTTAAAACAGATCTAAGTTTTCAGAGAAATGTGGCGTCACTATTATTCTCTAGGCTTGAGGATCATAACTTTTTGTGCATTAACTTCCGAGTTTGAAGAGTTTGTCACATTTCAGACTTCTTGTACAAAGGAAACACCTCTACTCCCTGAGTAGTGGAAGGAAGATGGGACATTGGAAAAAAGGGTGGGAACCTTGGTGCACTGACTCCCTTGATAGGTCCTTGGTTCCCCTTTCAGCCAGCTGAGGTTGGAGTTCTGGTTGGCAAAGATCGATCAAGTTTTTTCGTGAATGGGCTGACACTTGGGGGCCAGAAATGTTCTGTGATCCGGGACTCACTGCTGCTGGATGGGGAGTATACCATGGATCTTCGCACCAAGAGCACTGGCGGAGCTCCTACCTTCAACCTCACTGTCACCATGACTGCCAAGAGTGAGTTTCTGACTCTTAACCCCTGCTCTTCCACTGAGCTCTGTAACATTCAATCTGCAGTTTTTTGTTTTCTGTGTTGGACCTAGTGTGAAGGGAATCAAACCCAAGACTATACTCCTAGTTCTGCTCCTGGATGTTAAGATGTTTTGTCTTAGTTCCTCATCTGATAATATCAGAAGTTGAACTGCATCACTTCCCAAGTTCCTTTCTGTCTTGACCCATTGCTGGTTTAGAAATTCCGTTTTCATGAAGGGAGGTGCTTTTGGGGGCCATAAGTCAGCACTTAGGTCTCATCTTCCGAATTCTTTTTATTAAACCTTATGGGTAACAACAGGCTCATCTACAGTCATTTCTGGCCTTTAACACTGGAGTTGTTGACTCCAAAATTGTAGTCTGTTCTCCCCAAGCCTATTAAGATTTTTTTTTCTTTTCCCCTTTTGAAAAGCCCTATTGTTTCAGGGTGACTGACAGCCTAGCCTGCCTGTGTGTGGGGGGTTGGGAGGTATGAGGTTGGGTTACAACCCCCAGGGCTGGACAGCTGCTGAACAGCTGGCAGGGGGTGGAATTATGACACCTGGGTCCTAGTCTCCTTTCTCTTTCCTACAGCGCTAGTCCTGCTGATGGGCAAAGAAGGTGTCCACGGTGGTATGATCAACAAGAAATGTTATGAAATGGCCTCCCACCTGCGGCGTGCTCAGTACTGACCTCGTCTGCCCCTTCCCCCTACTACTCCCCACTGCTTTTGCACCCCTCTCCTGCCCATACACACACATACACCATTTTTATTTTTTGGGCCATTACCCCAACACCCCTTATTGCTGCCAAAACCATATGGAGTGGGGGACAGGGCTGGATGGACAGACACCTCCCCCTACCCATACCCCCTGTGTGTGGTTGGAAAACTTTTTTGTTTTTTGGGTTTTTTTTTTCTGAATAAAAAAGATTCTACTAACAAGGTGCTGTGTGGTTTTAGCCTGGGTGAGGACAGGCACCTGCTACCACTTTCCTGGCTTCGTGATGACAGAGCAGGCAGGTTGAGGTACTAGATACAGTTCAGAAGTTTCCAGCCTCTAGGTCCAATGCCAAGTACCTGCCTCATGCCTGTCTGGCCAGGGGTCAGCCTTTCAGAGTACTACTGCTAATCTTTGCTCTCCTCAGTGAGCTGCTAGGTAGAAGGGATGGAATAGAATCATTCAGACCAGAGAATAGGTCTAGGCCTGCTGGCAAGGCAGGGCCAGTTGAATCATCCCTGTGTGTGGGTGGGGCTCCCCCTCTCTGAGTCACAATAAATGCCTACTGGGGCTGTCCCCATGACTACAGGTTAGTCTCTCCAGCACCCTCTGCTGCCTTCATTGTTAAGTGTCACTGAGTCAATTCCGACTCATAGGGACCCTGTGTTAAGGTTTCTAAGGAGTGCCTGGTGAGCTTGAACAACCAACCTTGCGGATCAAAGTGACATTGCATCTAGTACATTAACCTGCAGTGCCACATCAGGCCTCCCTCTAATTAGGGGAGAATAAGACCAAAGAGGTAATTGCCCCAAAGAATAAGAAGTCCACCTATGTGAAGGTGATCTCACTCTTAATCCAGAAAAACAATTTTATTAACCCGAGAAGTAAAGACCCAGTCCCTTTGTATCCCCCCAAATACCCTAAAAAGGATGGGGTTGGATAAATGAGAAACCTGGGGCTGGAATAACCCCAAACCCCCAACATAAGACCAGAGGGGAGGAGCTGGGGGTGTGCAAATAGGTCACCAGTGATATGAAGGAATGAGTATTAGACCAGGATGACAGTTGAAGGAGAGGGGGAAGGAGAGGGTGAGGCATCTGTGGAGGGCCCAGGAAAAACAGGGGGCGCTGGTGCTAAGGAGCCAAACGAAGTGGGGAGTGTGGGACTAGAGCCTAGGAGTGGGGTCCGTTCTGAGGCAGGGTGGTCCCTTGACTCCCCTTCATCACCCTCCTCTTGCCCCTGAGTTTCTTCCTCCTCATCTTCACCAGGGCCCCGATGGACAGGTTGCTTACAGATGGGGCAGGTCTTCCGAGTCTGAGTGAGCCAGGGGTCCACACAGCGGCAGTGGTAGGCTATGGAAAGGAAGGAAGTAAAGCACCAGATGCCTGCTGTGGGGTGAGGCATGGATGCAGGTGGTGAAGGCCTCACCATGAGCACAAGGGAGCACTCTCAGCTTGTCCCCATCCTCATACTCATCCAGGCAGATGGCACAGACATCATACTGGTCTCCTGGAGGAAGAAGAGGAGTCATTCAACCAGTCCCTTTTTAACCTGTAAGGTCTACATGAGTGAACTCATTCTGTGGATGCCTGTGGTGATGCTGAATCTGGAAAAATAAATTTCCCTGCTCTATAAAGGAGCTCTGGTAGCGTAATGGTTATGAATCTGGCTGCAAACCTTAAGGTCAGCGGTTCGAAACTACCAGCCGTCCCGCCGGAGAAAGATGAGGCTTTCTACTCCCGTAAAGATTTACACCCTCGGAAATCCTGTACAGGGTCGCTATGGGTCGGAACCGACTCGACGGCACTTAACAACAACAACAATAAAGCCAATGGAATTGCTATTCTGGTAGGGTAAGGTCCAGGCAATCAGAAGAATCCGGGGTTACAGAGAACAGGCAAAAACAGGTAAGAAGGGAAGTGGGTTTTTTGGGGGGTTGGGGGTGGTGGTGGAGTGATAGTTGGGGTGGAAATGGGGGCAGGGCCTCTGCTATAGCCTTATATGGGCACTGAAGGCTCCAGGGCTTAAATAGTACCTAAAGACCCAGCCCTGGTATGGCGCTGTGGGTAAATGCATTGGACAGTAGTTTTGAACCGCAAAGTCAGCAGTTCAAGCTCAACAGTCACTCCTCAGAAACCCTATACAGGGGTCCCTGCAGGTAGGAACTGACTTGACCACTTAACGACAAAGACCCAGCCTCTCCTTCCCTGTTCGTTCTCTGGCTGAATCCTCACTACTCCCCATTCTCTTTCTCTACCTTCTCCCTTTTAAACAGGGTCTGTCCCTTCTCCTTTTCTCCCAAATATTTTCATCATCTTTGCTTTCCATTTCCTGTCCTGTTCAGCATCACCCCCTCTGCTCTCTTATTTGTGGTTTAAAAAGAGACCGTGGCATCTTAGAGCTTACTGAAAACTTTCCCTGCCATCTTTCTTTCCTTTTTTTCTCCCAGGCTTAATCATAAAAGAACCAGGTAAACTAGGGGAAAAAAAGCCTTTCTCCCTCCTGACCCCACTCGCCTTTCTGATAGTCATGTGTAGGAATCTGTTTCAGTTGCTCTTTGGTCAGTCGATTCCGCTGGAGCCGCTTCCGGTGCTGGATACAACGTACTATCTGGATAGTGGATGGACCAGGCTTAGAGAACAAAACTGAACAATCTAGTACATTCCACCTCACCTCCCAAATCCAGATCCAGTCTGGCAACAGAGGCCCCAGCTCTTCCTATCATGCTTCCTGAGCTACTCACCATCACTGCTCCCATGGCCAAAACCAAGAGTCCCACAATCCCTGTGAAGGAGATGAGGTAATAGCCCAAGGGGAAGCTACTGTCTGGAACCAGCAACACCTGAGCCCTTGGGAAAGGAAGACCAATGTCAGAGGGGCAGGAAAAACAAAGAGATAAAGAAGAACCACCAGGTAACTGATTCTGGACAAGGCTCATGGTGAGGAAGGAGGTGGGAAGAAAGTCCAGAGGCAAGGCAGAGAAGGCCTGAGGCTCAGTGGTTAGCAGTGAGGCTTTAGGTTGGCACTGGACTGTTAAAGGAAGAGTGAAGAGGAGGCTCATGTCTTACCCTTTCTCGTAGACAAAGAGGGCACGCAGGTACTCAGAACTCCTCTCTCCAACAAACACAGACGGGATCCAGATCTGCTGCTTAATTTCCTCTGTAAGGATTGGGGCATTACACTAGGGTCAGCTTTTTTTCCTGTCAGTCCTCTCACCAGCCCTCAATGTGAGTGCTACTGAAATCCCAGTCTTACCACTATTCCACACCATGTTCAGAAGTTCATTGGAATTCACGTTGTGTACCACAGCTGCACCATAGCCAGCCTTCTGAGCATTTAGGACCTAGTGCCAAGGCAGGGAATAAGAAGCCATCATGGGCTTTGCCTCCCTTCATTCCTGGTGAGGTTTTCACCTTGGTTTCCCAGCTCCCACTCCACATTCAGCAACCTTGAGGTCAAAGTTGCAGTTGAATCTTCGAAGCAGTGCAATAAAGACTGACCCGTTGACCGGGGCTGGGGGTGGTGGGGCAATGGGGCTGCAGGCATTAGCTGGGTGAGCCTCCACAAGGAACCCCTGGGGGAGAAGGAAACAATTGGAGGTCGCCTTAGGTTCTGTTCCCAGAGTCCTCTGAACTAGCTTCCACATGCTACACGCCCTCTATATCCACTTCGTCTTTCTTGGGTCTGGCCATCCCACTCCAACTACAAGTCTCATCTTCTCTTAACCTCCCGAGGAGGCAAATGTAGCAAACTCATTTACCAGATCTTGCCAGCGTCCCTTCTAACTGTCCCTGACGGCCTAACCAGTATTTCGTACTCTAGGCTAATTCATGTTTCTGCCTTCCTACTAAGTGTTATTCTACCTATCCATGCCATCTCCTCTCAGTTCTACTTCATATTCATTCTCCAGTAAACACTAACAGAACAGTGTTTTCCCCAACCGATCTCAAATACTAGAGTGATTATGATAACTGAATTCTTCCTATAGGCAATCTTCATGATGAAGTAACACAAAATTGCTTATCTAAATTGACCCTAAAAAAAAAACAACCAGAAATGATTTCTATGATTTTTTTTCACTTGAGGGGCCTTTGTGGCAAAGTGATGGGCTGCTAACAGAGGGAACTAGCTGCTCCACACAAGACGAAGGTGTGGCAGTCGGCTTCCATAAAGATTTACAACCTGAATCTACTTGTGGGTTGTGGGTTTTTTCCCTTTTTAAACGGTTCCACTTAAGAATAAAACTAAAGTTCTGAGACATAATTAACTTCAGGTCAGGCCAGCAATAACTACGGGCTCCAGAGACTACTGATAAACACCACATCGTCTTGCCTTCTTTTATCTTACTCCATGTTCAGGATCTCTCATAAAGCTGGGCGTTCCAGGGGCGGCCACTTAGCCGTCTCTTTCTCGTTTCTGAATTCCACACTTGACGTGCTCGTACACTTAGTTCCTAACTTTTTTCCTATCTCCAACTTCACCTATAACCAGGCTCCTCCACCCCTGTCCAGCCAAGATTTGAGGGTCTGGGGAAATAAAAACGGTTAGAAAAATCACCTGGAGTCCCTCCTGGCTCAGGGTAGCCCCAAAGAGAGCTGGGAGGTCTGCAAAGTCCATGCTGGCGTTGTGGTCCGAGGTCTGCGGAACAGTTCATGTTTCCACTCTGCTTGTAAGCCTTCCTTCCAGCACCCTTCCCCCATCACCCTCAGACTCACCGCTCTAATGAGCCCTCGGATGGGGGCCGCTCCCCACAGCACAGTGGCCACAACCACAGGAAGCGGGAAGACCACAGGGTGCATGGCAGCTGGAGGGGTGAGGTTGAGCAACCGCGTCCCGGGTAGCAGGAGCAGAAGCGGAGTCCTGCGTCCTCCGCGCCCCTCTCTCAGGATCCCAGGGGTCCCACTACCCCCAGGTTCCACTTCCTAGCTACATGGGGACGCCGGAGAAGGAACCTCAACCCGTTTCGTAGAGCTGGGAAAGAGACACTAAATGTACCCTTTTCTAGTTTGGGAATAAAACCGAGCGGAGACGAGAGCAAACACGGTGACAGAAAAACTTCGGGAAGGGCGGGGGAGTGCAAAGAGGTGGGACTTCCGGCCAGTCGGGCCGTCTTCCTAGGCCCTGAAAAAGGGTTTCCGGTAAAGAAAGGCAGATGCTTCAAGCATTGGACGCTCAAGATGGACTTCCGGTCCTAAAGGGTCGGTTGAGAGAGGTCAGAGGTGGAGGGAATGCCTGTGGAGATGTAGGGAGCGCCGATGCCCCACAGGATGATCTGATCGTTTCCTCACAGGTCCCCAGGCGCCTAAAGCAACCCTGTTTACAAACTTCTCCTCCGCCGGGGCCGCGGTATACTCAAGTGTCGCGAGAGTGCTAACCACAACTCCCCTCCCCCTGCTTCGGTTGAAAACTTGCTTATATCTATCGCGAGAGACCGTCTAACTTTGGCTGGCCTTCACTCGATCTCGCGAGACCTTCGAACAAGCTCTTCATTTTCCCGCGATTCCAATTTGGTGAAAGCTGCGCTCAGGCTCTGGCTTCCCAATATGCCACACTTCTTTCCACACCCATCCTTCAAGCTCCTCCTTCGACTCCGCTTTCTTCCCGACCTCCTTTGCGCTGCGCGCCTGCGCCGGCTTCCAGCGGGTGCAGGACCTGGGAACCGGAGGGGTGTGCGCGCGCGCCCTCGCCCCTGTTGCGCGCGCGGTGTCACCTTGGGCGCGAGCGGGACCGCGCGCGCACGGGACCGGGAGCCGAGGGGGCATTGAGTGGCGATGGCGGCGGCTGCGGCGAGTCCCGGGGCCGGCGGGATGGACGGGAAACCCCGTACCTCCCCTAAGTCCGTCAAGTTCCTGTTTGGGGGCCTGGCCGGGTAAGCTCAGGCCCCAAGGATGGGAAAGGAAGAGGAAGGAACGGGTGCAAAGAATCAGGCCTTATTCATCACTGGTCTTTAGCATTGAACCGAGCTGGCATCGGGTGATCGCAGTCTCCAGCCTATTGCCAGGCCCTTGACTGCTTGGACCTTTTCACTCATTGCAGGGCCCCTCACTGGGATGCATACAAGATCCTTACACGGTCCCCGCCGGGCCACAAGTTTCCCAACCTATTGCTTGACTTTGCCGGGCTGTATGGGGTCCGAGGTCATCATTACATGGCTCCTACCAGACTTGGTAGAGTCCTAGTTACGCATGCCCCCTTCCCTTTGCCCTCGAATGCACTCCCAAGTGCATTGACCACCACGGAGCTGCATGAGCCTTTTCATTGCATGGCCCTTTGTGGACCATTGAATTTTTCAGATACCTTCTGTCAGCCATCTGGACCCTTGGTCAGTCTCATGACAGGCCCTGCTCTTTGTGACCTCTCTGGTACCGGGATCTTCTGAGCAATGGTAGATTTATGATACTTGGCCTTTAACTACATTTTCATCTCCCCCCAGGATGGGAGCGACCGTTTTTGTGCAGCCCCTAGACCTGGTGAAGAACCGCATGCAACTGAGTGGGGAAGGGGCCAAGACTCGGGAGTACAAAACCAGCTTCCATGCCCTCACCAGCATCCTGAAAGCAGAAGGACTGAAAGGCATTTACACTGGGTATTGAAGCCACAGGATGTGGGGTTAAGCTAGGGTTGGCAGCTCCACTCCTTGTTCTAATGCACTGACCCCTTACTCCTCAGGCTGTCAGCTGGCCTGTTGCGCCAGGCCACCTACACTACCACTCGCCTTGGCATCTACACCGTGCTTTTTGAGCGCCTGACCGGAGCAGATGGTACACCCCCTGGGTTTCTGCTGAAAGCCCTGATTGGCATGACCGCAGGTGCAACTGGTGCCTTTGTGGGAACACCAGCTGAGGTGGCTCTCATCCGCATGACCGCTGATGGCCGGTGAGTTCTAGGCCCAAGCCTGCCCCCAGGTCCTGGGAATCTAGAAATCAAATCCATTGCCATAGATTCTGACTCAGATCATCCCTATGAGACAGAGACTGCTCCCTTTGGTTTCCAACACTAAATCATTATGGGAGCAGCCAGCCTCATCTTTTTCTTGCCGAGCTGCTAGTAGTGGGTGTGAACTGCCAACTTTGTGGTTAGCACTCCAATGTTTAACCCATAGGGCTCCTAGAAGGAAAGGCCAATTTCTCCAGTCTGGACAAGAACAAGTGTTCAGTTATTTTTGTCTTCCTTTCTTTGCCCCCATGGGGCAGCTTATGCTCCTCTTGCCTTCCCACCAGGCTTCCACCTGACCAGCGTCGTGGCTACAAAAATGTGTTCAATGCCCTGATTCGAATTGCCCAGGAAGAGGGGATCCCCACACTGTGGCGGGTGAGTGGACTGGAGGGACTGGAGACTTGAGGGATGGAAGGTCTGATCTCGGGCATTACTAACTCATTTTCCACTTTACCCCTACCTCAGGGCTGCATCCCTACTATGGCCCGGGCTGTTGTTGTCAATGCTGCCCAGCTCGCCTCCTACTCCCAATCCAAGCAGTTCTTACTGGACTCAGGTGAGACCCAGAGCTGGGTCCTTAGCTTGCAGTCTAGCAAGGCCAGCTCCAAGCTGACTGTGTACCACCTCCTGCTCTTCTCTCCTAGGGTACTTCTCTGACAACATCCTGTGCCACTTTTGTGCAAGCATGATCAGTGGCCTTGTCACCACTGCCGCCTCCATGCCTGTGGACATTGTCAAGACTCGGTGAGTGTGTAGGCCTAGCCTTGAGAAAGGTGAGAGGGTCCCCTTTATGTCTCTCATTCCCCCTTCTTCCTCTTCTCCAGGATCCAAAACATGCGAATGATTGACGGGAAACCGGAGTACAAGAATGGGCTGGTGAGGAAGCAGGGCCAGGGACGGCTGGAGGGTGGGGTGTTGTGGGAGAGGGCTGCAAGGGTAATGGGGAGAAGCAGGACAGGGCTGTGGAGGCCAGGTCCTGGCCCCAGCACTTTGCCTGCCTGTCTGTATAGGATGTGCTGATGAAGGTCATCCGCTACGAGGGTTTCTTCAGCCTGTGGAAGGGTTTCACGCCATACTATGCCCGCCTGGGCCCCCACACCGTTCTCACCTTCATCTTCTTGGAGCAGATGAACAAAGCCTACAAGCGGCTCTTCCTCAGTGGCTGAGACGGATGGGGAGGGGGGCAACGCTCCCAGAGTCAGTGTGCCCTGAGGGGCCTGGACCCTGCTGCCCTGGTCCCCTCTATTTATTTCCCCTCCACAGAGTGTGGTTTCCTCCATTGTCATAAAGGACTTTGTTCTGCTCTATCCCTGCTCCAGTTTGCCCTGCTTGTCTCGATCTTCATGACCTCTCTGAGGATGTCCAGCCTCCTCTTGGGTGTTAGTTTCAGGATGCAGGACAGCAGAAGGTCCCCCTTCTCAGTGGAGACGTTTAGGTCGAACTGAGGGGATAGGAGAAAGCAGAAGCTACTCACAGTGGTCAAAGCAACTGCATTTCATTGAGGGTTTAATAAATTGGATTGCTGACACCACCCCAAATCTGGAGTATTGTGGAGGCCAAGAGTGGGAGGAGACTGGACTGCAAAGCTGGTGGCGCCTTGGAAGAGCTGGAACTTGAGATTTTCAGAAGAATTATGAAAGGAAAAGCACCTGCTGATGTTATGCAAATGCTATGTAAACCTACTAGGTTACTGAAGCTGATGGGATGAGGAAACCTAAAACTCCAGGTCTTGTATGTGGCTTCCAACCTGCTGCCAAGAATGTGACAGACAGATTCAAGTCCATCTCACGTAACCCCTGCAAAATCTCTGATTCTGCAGAACTCATATGCCTGATTCTGCAGCCTAAGAGTGAAAGGGAGCAGACCTCTGAGAGTTGGAGCCCCTTGGGGAATGAGGGAGGCTTGAGGAAAAGAGAGTATGGGTCTGGAGACTTGATCTGGTCCCCCTGCCTAGGGAGTGTGACTCCCTTGCTGTTTCTTCAGATGTATGGTTCCCAAGCTCTGCCCTATAGAAGCCTAAAAACCTCTTGGGGTATAAAAGGGCATGGGAGGTCAAACTGGGACGAGAGCTGGACAGCAGGAACCTGAGGACTTTGTGTCAGGCCAGGGAACAGGCAGGCAGCAGGTGGGAGCTGTCCCTTTGGCATAGTCCCCTTGTGGAAAGAGAAGAGGTGGAGCTCAGCAGCCCGGTGCCCCTGCGTGTTCCCTCTAGTGCTGCCTCCCTTCCCTTTCCATGCACATCCTGCGCTGGGCCAGAGTGGCCGATTTGAGACACTTGAAGCCTGAAGCTTGTTCTTGAGTTTAAAGTTCAGAGGGAAAGAGATACAGAAGTGATTGGGAACTGGGACTGGAGCAATAGCTATGTGCAGGGTAGCTTGGAGCACCTGGCCCAACCCAGGGGGAGGAGGAAGGAGCAGGGGCAACCCTTGTGGCTTACAGCAAAGGCTCAGAGGAGCAATGATGTTAGGAAGCAGATCAACATGCATGCCATTGTTGGAGCATGGATTATGAAGTGTGTCAGGAGAGATGAAAATGGGCTGATAATACGGAGTGAGTGCATGGAAGTCTTTGATTGCTATGTTGAAGAGTTTGGCTTCTGCCCAGAGAAGAGTTCAAAGCAGGAGAATTGTGAGATTTTTCAGTTAGGAACATCTAACACCATCTGGAAGAGTCCAGCCTTTAATTCCTCTCTTTGAGCCCCAAACCCTGGTTTTAGCTGAAGTCAAGGCAGCAGGAGAGAAGAGCCTTGCCCAATGTGGTAAGGGACTAAGTGGTTCCATTTGCTTGTATCCTAGCTTAAGGGCAGGAAACCTGAGACCCTTTAATAAAACCCACCAAGTTGGAGCACACAGCTGGCCCACCTGAGTAGTATAAGAGAGCAGGGCCCCTATTTTTTCTAGCACTGTGAGCAATAGGTTTTGGTAGTGTCGCTGAACCCCAGGGAGATTTGTATGGGTCTTGAGCAGGAACTGGTGCTTGGGAGGTCTGGTGAGCGTCACCTCAGGAGGAGAGGGGAGAGCAGTGGTTGGGCAGAGGGAGTTGATACCCAGGCATGGGATATGTAGTCTTTAAGATTAGGGGTTGATAAAGGCCTTGGAAATGCTAGTGACAGGTACCTCAGCCGCTCTGCCTCTTCAGAAGAAAACAAAGTTTTTAAAGTGTTTATTATACAAATAGTACGCTATGGTGGTGGAAAACTAAAAAATGCTAAGCAAAGAAAAAGAAAAACCACCTACATTTATCCCACGCAGAAAGCAGCCAGTGTTTGCATCTTGATAAACGTCTTCAACTTTCTCCTATGCATGGAATTTGGGGGGGTCTATGAGCTGTGCTGCTTAGTATTTGCTTTCCTAAAACCTCCCAAAAGTGATGGTAATAACCACATGCTCTAGCCCCACTCCCCCTTGCAACACAGTTTGTGCCCCACCCAACTCCAATTCAATCTGGGTCTGAGGTGTGAAGAGAGGCTTCTGATAAAAGAAAAAGGGAGTTAAGCCTTCCACCCCTACCCCCATCTTCAGCTAGATCCCCATAGGAATGATCCTCAGAACCTCTCTCAAGTCCCCAAGTAAGTCACCATCACAGGCTGTGGCCAGAGTACCTTATACTCACTGTGCCCAGCAAGTCTTGACCACGGCCTACACTCAGGGCTGAGGGCCAGCGTTTTGCCACCAGAGGCCCGACATGGCCATTGGATCGTACCCACAGGAAGAGGCTGGAGCGGAAAGTGGGGAGTGATCCTTGAAGAAAGAGCAGCCAGGTCCGGGATATAGTCACTTGTCTTCCCCTCTGCAGTTCCAGGTATGCAGTGTGTAGAGCTGCAGGCTGGCCCAGTGCCACGTGCTGCAGCTGGATCAGCAGCAGGATGAGGATCACAGAGGCAAACAGGAGCCAGAGAAGACTCATCAAGTAGAAGCCCAAAGGGAGGAGGCAGCAAATGTCAGGGCCAAGGAAAGAGTCTTTTGGGAAGCTATCCAAATTCCTTTGAGCTACCCCATGAACATTCAGGAGATTGACAGATTCAGAGGTGATAGTTGTGAATTCTATGGTAGTAGGAAGTGAGGTAGGTTCTGTAGGAGTTAAGAATGTGGTGGGCTCTGGGGTGGGTAGGGTTGTGGTGGGTGCTTTGGGGGTTGGGGTGGGTAGGGTTGTGGTGGG